TATAATCGAGTCAACTCCATGTCGATCTGTTTGTGCAAATTGAGGGGAGTTTCAGATAGTATCCACCGGCTGCCGGTCTGTCCGCCAAAGCATCTTTGAACAATGTTGGTGATGCTATCCCTGAAAGAATTAGAAAACAGTGCCAGTCCTTGGAAGTGACAATCAAATAAACTTTGCAAACTGGTTCGACTGCGCATTTCCGAGAATCTGCGCGGCGGGCGGCCGCACCACACGCCTTCCGCAGGGTAAACCGAGCTTGGAGAAAACCTGCCCAACGTTTAAATAGCAAAAACCTTGCTGAGAGGTTTCTGTTTGCGAGCATTGAACCGAGCTGCAGAGCAATGCACTTTGGGCCTAGTCTCGATAACTGCACGGTGAGCAACACGAGGGAAAAAAACAAAACTGGCATCTTGTTTGTTGCTGTTCACCGTCAAAGACCTCGAAGCGAGGCGGTAAATCTCGAAAACGTGGCGCAACACTAGAGCGTTTACCCGCGGACGTCCACCAATAAAGAAATAATTTTGGAGCTTGGCCACCTCCTAAAGCTTGACTCGTGATCCCCTCAGGATTAGTTAGCCAAGAGCCGCAACGAGCCCCGGGAGGAAAGGAAACTAAATAAGGGTGCTTGGCAGCTTTCGAGTGACACGGGAGACGCCATTGGAGGAATGTTCGATCTGAAGTCTCCGTCCTGCACTCCGCATGCAAGCCCTTCCCTGCACCAAGTGCCGTGGTCCCGCTGGTGTAATTGGATGTAACCCTATCGAAGGCCTTCAGATGAACGCAATCGACTAGAGCGCAAGGACGAGGTCTTTGGAAAGACCAGCAGACCAGGGAAAAGGTATCTGTCCCAGAGCTTCGGTTCTGGGTTTTCCAGAGTTACTTGGTGAATAAATACACTGCGGCTTTCCCCATGTTTTGAGGTTACAGCGTCGCTGCCCACTCTATTCTGTCTTTACCTTCTTTACACTCATTCATGATGGTTGCGTTTCTCCAACTTCTTACATTCGCCGTGGCAGTCGTCGCAGCTCCGGCTGAGGTTTCCCTCGACGTCGGCCTCGGTGGAAAGAACTGCGATGGCAAGTTCGCCAGAACTCGCCCTTCTTCCAACTCGCTGGTCGTCGATGCTTCCGGCAAGCAACCTAACAGCTACCCCACGCTTAATAGCGCCGTCGCCGCACTGAAGAACGTCACCGACGATCAGAGCATCTTCATCATGCCCGGCACCTACACCGAGCAGGTCCGCATCCCCAACTACCTCGGCAACCTCGTCATCCAAGGATACACTTGCGACTCCCGCGACTACGCCGATAATCAGGCCACCCTCACAAACAACCTCTCCCGCACCATGGCCAACCTCACTAGCAACGACCAGACCGCCACTCTCCGCCTCTGGGGAGATAACATCAAGATCTACAACCTCAACATTGCCAACACTTTTGGCCAGGCCGACAAGAATGGCATGGCGCTGGCTGTCAGCGCACAGAAGACCAACCTCGGCTTCTATGCTTGCAAGATTACCGGATACCAGGACACCGTCTACGCCAACGAGGGTAGACAGATCTACGCAAAGACGCTCATCAACGGCGCCGTCGACTTCATCTTTGGTCTGCGCGCCGCAGCCTGGTTCGAGAAGTGCGACATTCAGACCATCGGAAAAGGCTACATCACCGCCAACGGCCGCGATGCGGCCAACAACACTTCCTTCTACGTCTTCAACAAGGCCAACATTACTGGCACCAGCGGAACTGCCTCCGTCACCCTCGGTCGTCCGTGGAGACCGTTCTCCCGTGTCGTCTTCCAGCACAGCGAGATGAGCGATGTCGTTGCCCCGATTGGCTGGTCTATCTGGGACAAGACCCAGAGCACGGCCAATGTCTACTTCAAGGAGTTTGAGAACACGGGTCCCGGTGCGGCAGGTGTTAGGGCTAACTTCAGCTCCACGCTTACCAAGGCTGTTCAGGATGTCGAACTTCTCGGCGAGGGATTCAAGAAGGAGTGGTGGGTTGACGCTTCGTACCTGTAAACATAAATCATCCTTTCAATAGCATAGCATACTTTATTATACCAAAAGTTTAGTTAGCCTGAGATAGACTACTACTACCACGGACTTCAATCCCAGAACACCGACGGGCATAGTTCTCATCGTCACTTGAGTAGACTTGATCTACGCACGATCAGTGATGTGTATGTGACGACCTATCACTCTAAGAAGCTTCGGGCATCTATGCGCTGAAATTTGTGGTATATGTACCTGCCGAGCGCGACATCTTCTTGTTCTTCGTCAAGAGTTCCTCTCGTAGAAGGCGGGCCTAGCTAAACTGTTTTCTTCGGATTCGATGTGGATGCAGACTTTGTCACCGGCCAACGGGTTGGGTACCACACGTGACACCGTGCGGGCCATACTCATACTTATCTACATGTAGTTACAGTCAAAGCTACGTGCAAGCTTCCAGCTTTTACTTGCTGGTCATCATGTTCCCTCTTACATACAGTACTTACCTCATGAATCGTTATCCGTGTCACTCACCAGTGGCTGCATGTTTGCACATGTCGCCGATGTTGTCGACCTGTTCCTTCTTCGAGCGTCAAATTTGATGTTCAGGCGTCTGGTTGGGCTCGTCTTATATCTCAACCGCTGAACACGCCATGGCACGTGAAGCTGAAAGCTTGTATTTCGTCTGGACATGGTGTGACTACAGAGATAAAGTACGATAGCAATGACTGTGTAATAGCATTCACAGGCAAGCCGTCGTATTTTTCTGGTTGAGCAGAGTGCTTCCATCACATTGTCTGAGGGCATCTGCAGGCACCTGCGCAAAAAGCTCATGTCCGCACGTCCATGCGTAGCACTCTGGTTGAGAGAAGTGAATCACAATTTCGCGTTTTCGGCCCACGCCGATGCCAGGCAACCGAATTCATGACAACCGTCTTCCAGATACGGAAATCTTGAAATAAGCAATCGGGCTCTAACACCAAAGTCCCTCCGAGGATTCATCGCTGAGGCCCTACGAGGCTAAAGTAGATGGGGTGCCCACAGATGTAGTGGGTCGATGTAAGCATATTATGGAAAGGCACGAGCCGTGATCCGAATGACCCTAGGCAGTTCGACATGTTATCCGCTAGGCTCATGGTGTCCACGACCTCAAATACCGTCGTTTTCGCTCCACAAAGCTAGGCGGTGACATTAGTTTCGAGCTTGGCCTACTCTAGGAAAATGAACAGGTTGTTGTTAATCGAAAGAGCTTCGAAGCTCTGTAGCTGAATCTGGCTTTATCATGTTGATAGTAAGGAAGAGCTCCGCAGTCTATGAGGCTAGATGATTAGAGTCAAATTCTCTGCCAAGATTATCGAGGGTCTCGTATTGGCCCACCGGGAAGGAATGCGTCGAAAGTCCCTGTCAGGTTTAAATCCTTCCGGTCATATTGAGAAAACGGGACCTGATCTCACACCCGGCTAATCGGCATGCGGGGCAGGTTCATGCCGCAACGGGGCACTCGCCCGAAGGATCAGCGTACATCGATCGAAAGAAGCTCAGTCAGACTTTTTAATACTTAGTGTCCGGGGGTTCTCGGTATCAACTGCAGTGATACTTCCTTAGGGCTGCAAACTCCCTTCGGCGGAGAGATCCCTACGGTACCTGCACACGATGGTAGACATGCGCATATTTTGGCGCTATCTTGAGTGGGTTGCTCGAACTGAAGCTGACGATTGTGAGTCCAAACCTGTCAGAAGTTGTTTGATGCGTATAGCAAAGACTGGCAACTGATGGTGTAGCAGGGCTTTTTCTAACAAGCCTCATCACAACGCTCTACCTGCTATACGTTGCCTGCACAACTGGCGTGCGATTCAAGAAAATCAGTTAGTTCACTCGCGACTCGCAACACTCATTGTATCAACCAGACTGATTCATCGCTAGTCGGATGGGTCTTTCTTGGGTTTGTAGAGTCGATGGTCTTGTTTATCCGAGGTAACCGCGAAGGTCTAGACTTAGCAGACAAGCAACGGCTATTGTTTCTGTGGGCTGGTCAGCTGTTCACTTGTTTTGTCCTCTTTTTGTGGTCATTGCAGGACTCGAGTTTGGAACTGGACGAATCCCTGAAGAAAGGCTGAGAAGGTAGCTGTAAAACCATGGAGCTCATCCATCGGCCGAGACAGATTGTAGTACGATCAATGGCCGAGATGGCTTTGGTATTGGTGGACGGTGTTGGTGCCGAGATGGAACGTATTGGCGCCCTTCAGAGCCCGATGGACTTTGAAACCAAATGATAAGCTTGAATTGGTTCTTTCATAAGACAAGGGCTTATTGGGTGCATGGAGCCGGTTGGAGCGTACCAAAGCATTCACGTCTAACCAATGTATCTGACATCCTACCGTGAGCGTTCTCAGAGATACCTGCAGTGATCTCATCTCGAAGACTTCCTCGAATTTCATGGTTCCGGCACTCTCTAATCGCCGTAGGAGTCCCCGGGGCCCGAAAGCAGGCTTGCCATTCTCAAAGAACTTCCCAGATCTTGCTATGAGAAATACTCATTCTTGTACCTGTCAGCATGGTGTTGTATTGTGTACGGCAAATCGGCAATTTTTCTGGAATGGTCAAGTGTGCCAATTCAACGTTAAACCGGGTCTCTATGTGGTCAGCGGCTAGTCGGCAGCACCCGACTACCTTTCGGCGGGGAAACATGGACCATCTCCTGACTTTGAGCAACTAGAACTTCAACTGCCCCTTGCAGGACTACCCGTTACTAGTAAGCATGCAGGTTATCTTCTGTGACTGCCTGGAAGTGTGGGACTTACACCTCAAGACCTGAGGAGGATTGTCTCGATGCTGATATTGTGAGCTGATACGATGCGGGCGGAACTTTGGTATTGCTATGAATCGATCAAAAAGTTATAAAAGCAATGACCTACCTACTCCAAGGGTCACAATCTCAACTCAGACAGACTCTACCAGGCCAAGGCTTTCAAATCATCCCTTTATATTCTCACCTTATCACTTCAGAATGTTCTTTCTCCCAATTCTCGCATCTCTGCTGGGCAGCGCCATCGCTCATCCTGTGGTCAGCGATGTCACAGCTCTGGAGGTTCGTGAAGTGGGCATGAGTCCTGTCTCTCCTCTGACTGCCCGTGCAGAGTGCTCGACTCTCTCAACTGTCATTGAGCAGATCGGCACCAGCAGCGAGGTCGCCGTGTATGCCACCACCGGTGGCCTCACTGCCCTGTACGTTTGCAGACGTATCAACGGGCGTGAATGCGACACTCTTGCCAGCGCCATCGCCGCCGGTGTTGCAAGTATCTTCCTGATCCTGCAGAGATCCGGTGCCATCTCCGCCCGTGATGGCAGCACTGAGTCCCTCGTCGACTTCCTCACCCGGGAGCTTGCCGCCGATGGCTCTACCTTCCAGTCAATCACCGACGCTACCCCCCACCTGCTCGCTCGCTATGACTCTGACGAACGTACCCCTCAGTCTGTCGCCAGCGTCCACGGTCTCAACTTCCTCAACACCACTCTGAATCTGGACGTCTACGACTTTGGCGACGGCGAGGGTCACATCTACCTTCCCTTCGATGAGGAGCAGGAGCCCATCACCAAGCGCATGGAGAAGCGTGCATCTGCCCCTGGCTTCAAGATCGCTTACACCACCCGTCTCCAATCCAAGCTCACTCGCGCTCATCAAATTGAGATTTCCCAGCGTCTTGCTACCTACTGGAACACCCGTGCCAGCTGCTGCAGTCTTCACGATCTCATTGGCTTCGTCAAGACTGACCACACTGCCAACTTTTACTATCGAATTATCCCTGAGACGGTTAACTTTGGCCTCAACTACGAGTCTGTTGACATTTGTGGTGGGATGGCTGGCTACTTGTAAGCGCGAATGGGTCACGTTCTGTTGCAAGATTTCTTGTGCAAAGCTTTTTGATTGGAGGGGATAAATATTACCCTGAGAGATGATGATTGGTGGACTCTCACTAGATGTATAAAACTTGGGACACAATACTTGGCGGAACTTTGGCTACTATAGTTAAGAGTGGCAAAGACTGTAACAAGGTACTGTTAAATCTCGCAATACGATGTCCTAAGACTATAATACGATGTGTTTTTATCTGAGAAGAGAATAATTTGAATAGTTTGGTCACTGGCATTTGAAGACTTGTCGTTGTCATAGACGTAATCACATAATGACTAGAGACTAGGTCTATTGCCGTGTATATCCACCTGTGAACGGTTTCTCAATAGAGCGGAAATTTGAGATAGGCTGGGTACGATTGTATTGATTTTATCCAGCAGTTTACGGCATGAAAGGCCCGGATACATTTCGCAACAATCCTTCTTATTTACAGTTGTGTACCTGACACAAGAACTATATACCAAACAGTATTATGATAATGTAGAGCGCGCGACACCTGCCTGCAACTTTAATTATGTAGCTGGGTACGTCTTCTCGACTACCACCCCGCATGGGTAGTTGTTCTTCCCAACCTGACTTCCAGCAATGTTCATCAGTGTATTCCACAGACTCGTGCATACAGGGAGGGAAAAGAAACCGGGTGTCTGGACGCCCCCGGTCCACATGAGCTGATCCACGCCTCCGGCACTATCGTCCAGGGAGACGGTGTAGCCATTTCGATTCCCGTTGTTCAGATAGCCGCCGTATGAGCTGATGACAATATCTTCCAAGGTAATACCACCCCAGTTCTTGCCGTCGAGCACGTCGTGGGTGGCACCCGCCATCAGCTGGAAGGGCGGGTCAGAGTCTGGGAGACCAGGCGTATCGGCTTGCACGTCGACTCGGTAGGTACCGACGGTCAGAACGTAGAACTGATTGCCGTTCCAGCATACACCAGCCTTATCATGTGTTTCTTGCGTCATGTAGGGGTTCAGAGTGTTGGGCATGGTGTTGGAACACGCGTCACCGGTTTTGCTATAGGTCAATGTCTGTTAGCCATGCTTTTCGTTCGACCTGTGCGGAACTAGCGATGCGGCAAACGATGCCTTGGTGGAATATCAACTTACAGCACAAAAGGCGTGTAAGCAGCAGGCGCTACTTGCCACGCAATGGGAATCATCTGTCCGAACATGATGGTCTCGACCACGTTTACCATGCCGGAGAGATTAATGTCGACCGGCAGCGTGTTCATCATGCCGTCTCTGATAAAAGACTCAAGCATGCCTATGGTGGTGCTATTCGACCCGGAGAAGATCTCGGACAAGTAGTCCTCTTGCGTCTTCTTCCATACGTCGAACAATGCGCCCATCGCAGAGGTCAAATCATTTTGCACGCTCGCAGAGTCTTTAGCACTATTCCGCGACAATTAGTTGACTGTCCTTGGAAAGTCCACATCACACAGAACTTACGATTTCGTGTTGTCTTTTCCCAGAGCAAATGAGGCGGATATGGCGCTGTTGAACGTGTCTTTAGCGAACCCGAAATTGTTGCCCGCAAATATCGCGGCATCCTTGATGACTTTGATAGATCATATTAGCTCACTCTTCACAAAAAGAGTTCAGCTAGACATACCGATATTCCACAAGCCAGCTGATGCCATGCCCATGCCAAATGCCATCACATCCAGTATAGTCTTAATGAGAGTCGACTGGTCATCTGCCTTCAACTGAGGTGCGAATGTAGATGTGAAATCTCCCATGGCGGCAGATATGCTCAACTGCGCATCTTGAAGTGCCTCGTGGTATTTTTGGTACACCTTGCCGTCAACGTGTTAGCCGACTAGATCGTTCAAGATTGGAATTTTGGGTGCGTCTTACATCGTGTAGTTTGGAGAAGGAGTTGAGGAGTAGGAATCTGTGTACGCTACCAGGTCAGAACCTTCTCAGGAAGACTTCCAGTTCGAATTGACGCAGACTGGAGTTACCCTGCTGGATGCTTTGTATCGGCACACTGAACCGTAGTTGAGCATGGTGTGTTGACAGGATCTTGGCAATCCCAACCCTCCGGTCCGCCGTAAAAGTCGCTGATAAATGCTGGAAACTTGAGCTGGGCTGAAGTTGTTCCTGGCTTATAGGCTTGCCATGCAGCAACAGCTTCTTTCCACGAAGTATTTGTGTCAGCTGATGCCCACCGAACATTAGCCAGAACCTTTGCGTCGGTGACATTGGCGTCGGAGCATGTAGTTTGCTCCCAATTATCAGTACGCGTCCACAGAGCGGTAGGGATGGCATGAGCGTTGGACGCCAGAAGAAGGAAGGCTAAGTTGCGCATCGTATTGTTTGATGTGGTAGTGAATGTGGCGATGCTGTGATACCATAAGTTCTTGTTGCGTTCCTGGAGTGTTTAGATAGTAATAGACTTGCTTATGACAAGAGTTGATTAACCCCTTTGTGGTTCCGCAAAAGGGCCCGACCAACTCTGAGTCGTGAAGTACCAAGGCGCTTCAATAATTGTAGGCAGAAAATCCTCCCACGTGTAAGCTGGCTTGCACGGCATTGGTGTCGCCTAGGAACAATAATGGGCCAGGCGAACCTGTGGAGGGCTTGGAGATTCCCATGGTGACACTTTGATCACTTGAAGGTCAGTGATAATCTTTTGGAAATATGATTTGGGACGGAACAAGCTTTTAATATATCAGAGTTATTTACCTTACCTAGCAGGCGCGCAGCACGTTTTCTGAACTGAGTCATTGCCGCAAATGATCGCAGGAGGATTTTCAAGCACGTGGGCCCGTAAGTGGTCAACATAACAAAGATTATGGGCAACCAGCAAATTTTCTGCCCTTTGCTCTCATTATAGTACGGAATGTCGGCATGGCTGGCCCCAATGGCCCCCGGTTCTATCCTCATTTGCGAATCACACTGCGTGTCTGTAAGGAACTTTCAGCACTGTCGTCTTTCCAGGTTTTCCGATATCTGATGTGTCAATAAGCAGGAGTCTTAGCTTTCCAAGTCGAAAGCATCACCCATTTTCTATTACCTCGTCGACTGGCTGCATGAGTTCTACTTGAAGACAAACCACAGAGTTTCCAAACAACAGCTTTAAGATATCTTTCAGAACCTGAACTCCCGCATCTCCCTTGTAAAAGCGACCTCAGGCGTGAGAGCCAATAGTCGTCACTCACAATGGCCTTCAAACAGTAAGTATCTCGATCCCCAGCTCCACGTCATCACTGGACTGACAGTAGCTAGGCTCGTTATCTTCTTCTTTTGCCTATTCTACGGACAGGTTGTCGTAGGCTCAGGGTGCAATCAAATTCACTGCCAGGTGTCTGTATGCGCTCCGAATGCAGACGAGGCGTACAACGTGGCAAGCCTTGGTCTCGTTGCAATCATGGGACCTGACTGCGCGAGCTGGCAACCAAATTCGCCCGTGAGCGGAGGCCAAGGTGCGTGCGCCAATGGCCTTCAGACATACACTGGTGCTTTCGATATCTGGCGAGGCTGGAATGCGATGGGTGGCGATTACTCTGCTACTTTCGCGCAATGGGGGAACTTTTTGGGCGCCACTTGCACTGGCGGCAAGACTGTCTCATGCGATCCAAAGTCAGGACAGTATCCTAATCCCGTCAATGGAAAGTGTCAAACTCAGCAATGGTAAGTTGCAAGCAAAGCAGACTGCGAGGATATTCGGTTCGATCGAGCTAACAAGGTGGCAGTGTTATCGACAAAACTTGTTAGACACAGGGCCCGCACCGGATTCAAGATACCGAGCAGATTACTGAATAGTGTGTTTTGAGCTTTCGGGGGTCGAATTTTGCGGGAGGCATACCGTCGGCTATTATCTGACACGTTCCCTATAGCAAGCTGTTGAATATTTACTCGATCGTTGTGAAATCCCCCATAATTGAGAGCTGATTCGGCTTCTCGGCTAGCAAATTATCTGGTCCCTTTCTCGCTGGAAATAGCTTATGCCTGTGACCTCCAATGACTCGAATCTCTTTCTGATGTCGACTAAGACGCAACATAATATGCACATATGGGCATTCATCTGACCAGGGCTCGGAAACCCATGTCGAGCTATATGGCCAATTTTGGGAGTTATTCCGCGAGATGGTGAGCGAACGCGTATCAAATGTCAATGACGATACTGCCGGCAGTGGATTTACACGTCCTCGAGCTTGGAGTCATCCGATGGCGATACTATGACGGTAGCCGTGTAGCACTGGGTTTGGCTGGAGTCGGAGCAATGCGTAAGGTGCTGTTGGAAAGTCTCACTGACAATGAAATTCTGCTGGGCAATAATAGAAGTAAGGATGGATGGAAGCCCTTTTCGAAGCCGCGAGGAATATAAGCCACTACCAGCACAGTGTTCTGCTTGACTCTCGACATAGCCAGCAGCGCCCTGAGCAGAAGACACAACAGGTGACATCAGCTTGTTTCCGCATGTCGTTGAGTTGCTGTTCGGTTACCATCTTACATACAGAGCAGTGATCGAGTAATAAGGTTTCTCACAAATACATGCCACAACTTGGAAATTCAGCCTCTTTTTAGCTCTCTGACTGTCCTTTTTGGGACAAACACCCGATCTTAGGTAAAGATCTGACATGTCACGAAACAACCCTGGGTGATGAATTGTTTTGGCATTTTGAAGTGAGTTTACGTTCCTTTTGCCGTACTTAAGAACTACTCATTGGATGATGTGTTATGATTCAGTTGCCTAAGATTGACGCCAACTCAATTTGTCAGGACGACAAGAACCGCAGAAGTTTGACATGCCGGCACGTGCAGGGTAGCAAGAAATCCAATTCAAAGGCATGATCACCTGCAACTCGGCACCGTCGACACTGAGAGTCTTAATAATCAAGAGCCACAATGAACTCAAGATGGTTAATCTGGGTCTTACGCTTCGCGGGACAACGCCGAGCATGGACACAAAGTCTCGTTCTCGGGGACGATTAAAGTCCGACTTGAGGCACATGCGATGATCCATCCACACATAAGCTAAGCAAAGCGCTCCCACCTTACCACTTTAGGCATCTATGCTACTTCGGACGCCTTTGACCTCATATTTCTAGACTGTGATTCCCATCCGTACTTAGATCGGAACCTCTACCCCATTTTTACAACTCCCATACCTTGAGCTCTCCCGCAAAAGCCGCCCAGTCTGCGTTGGGATACTTACATCCTTTCCATCAGTTGCGTCGAAACGATGGGTCCGCCGACTATCGAATGGTTCGGTCAGTCTATAACATAGCAGCACTCTACTGAGTCAATAGAAGCACGTGAACTGACTCCATCAACGGCAACCTAGGCGCCACGACCTTTCGACTGCGAGCCAACGGTTTGGTCCTGTTTCTAGATACATGGTTGGAGAGGCCCTCTGTGCTACCGAAGCATCTTGATATCAATGATGTGATTGAAGCAGATTATATCTTCATATCTCATGCCCATTTCGATCAGTAGGTCAATTAGGCTCTCTCTGGATTATGCTTGTGTAAGGCTAAACAGTAGCCATAGCCTGCCTGGTGCGGATAAGATAGCGAAGAAGACCGGTGCTGTGGTTATCGCCAACGGCGAGGCGATTAACCTTCTCCGAGATGCGGGCGTCAACGAATTTCAACTCTTCCCCGTCGCGGGCGGAGAGCGTATTCCATTGTTCACCAAGAACGACCGTAAATCTGCGGCAGACGGCGAAATATCTATCGCTGATGGTCCGCCCGGAATGCCAGCTAGACCGAATCACTCTCGAGCTGTCATGTCTGTTCACGTTTGGCCTTCTCTACATGCTCTGATGCCTGGAAGTGGACATCATGATATTCCAGAGGAGATTGACACTGGAACAGTCTACAAAGGCGAGGCTACACCGTATACTTGTACCCTTGACATTACAATGGGGATGAAATACGGCCTCTTATGCAACAAAGAAAACATGCCGCCCGAACAGATAGACGACGGAATGAAATCCTTTGCAGAGTACATCAGCGACAGGAAGAACAACGTGTTTTCGCACTACGATGGCGGTCAACTAGCCTACAACTTCCTTCTCGGGCCCGGGCAGACTGTGTTCTGGAACGGACATTTGGGTGGCTATGAGGGCATTATCAAGAGCATTGAGCCAACCCCAGATGTGGCGATCCTCACCATCGCGGGGCGAGCCAATCTGAACGGCCGACCTTACGATGGATCTGCTGCCCAGTTCGCGACGAACCAGATCCGGTGGCTATCTCAACCCAAGAAAGTGATCTGGGCTCTCCATGATGAGGGGTAAGTTTCATCTTTCGGAACAGGTGGGGGAGGCAGCACATGGAGTATGTACGTTCTAAGTGACTAACATCTTTGGGCGACGAAATCATAGTGCGATCAAGCCGTATCGAGTAAACACCGCCGCCGCAACTGCCATGGTCCATGCTCAGACCTCATCAACAGTGGAAGAGCTCGAGTTCGGTCTCGCAAAACCACTTTTCTGAACTAACCAGATGATCGAAGGTTGGACTCGGTTAGGCCAACCAGCAAGTTTCCAGGCGAGGAAGTCCATTTTGGTTCTGTTTGGCAACTCAACAGGAACGGGCCGACCATTGCGGTTTGGTTTTGCCCTGTGACATGTAACCTTATTCAAGCGGCGCATCGGAGAGCTGCGGGCACCGAACACCGAGCCAGTCGGAAGGCGGCCACGTACCCCTTCACGGACCCGTGTGGAGTTGGCATGACATCCGACGGTGGGGGAGGGGGACTTGCCTTGGCGGCATGAGACATCACAATGACTTCTTCTCAGTAAATATGTAATCAAGTAGACAAGCCGTACGCAATGCCGTGTTCGTTTACCGAAACTCAACTCACGTGCAAGAGGTTCTACTCACAAGTTGCTGACATCAAATTGCTAGAGGACCGGGCAAGAGGATGCTTATCCTGGAGTGCTTCAAAATGATTTAATCCACGAAAAGGTCATCATTACAGCCTCCCAGTCACTACATGTTGAATCATTCTGGGAATTGACAATCAACTACATCTCAAAATGACTGCGCCCTTCAAAGTAATTATCGCAGGTGGCGGTCTCGCTGGCTCACTCCTTGCAAACGGTCTCGTCAACCACGGCATTAATGTGACCGTCTACGAACGCGACGCTGAAGATGCCAAAAGAGAGGGATTCCAGATACGATTGGGAGACAGCGCCATGACAGGTTTCAATGCTTGTCTGAAACCGACAGACATTGCGGCCATCAAGTCGCAATTCAGTCAAATGTCTTCCACAGGTCTCACTGCACCGACCTTGATGAATACGAGATTCCAGACTGTGCTTGACTTGGGCAAGATTCCATCATATAGTGCGTCTTCCGCTATCAATCGCGTCGTGCTTCGGGATATCCTAGTTGCTCCCTTGCAGGAAAGGAGCATCATCCGGTTCGAAAAAGCATTTGAGGGGTATGAAGTTTTCCAAAGCAACGATGGACAAGAAAATGTGAGGGTTCATTTCGCCGACGGCACTACTGATACATGCGATATTCTTATTGGAGCAGATGGAAGCGGGTCAAGGGTAAGATTATGCAAGATTGGAAATAGTCGTCCTAGAGACTTGGACGATTTGCTGATGAGGGCATCTACAGATCAACAAGCAAGTGGGAGCTCGGAATATTGTGCCAATTGACAGCCATGCCATGGTTCTCAGCAAAGGCCCTCTGCCCGAGGATTGGACGGAGAAGCTGCCTAAGCGTTTGACCGAAAGTCCACTCATGGTATTTGCAGGTGGTGTGTCCATGTTCTACGCGTGTAAGTCAAATCTGATCGATTATCACGCCATGGTACAACAAGATACACGCCGAAAGCTGACATTCTAGCTCTTAGTGTTCCTACCCGCTGCGGACGAGGCGACTCAAAAAGCTGGAAATGGCGCTAGATATAGCACAAGGGATGCCTCCTATTACTGGGGCGTTTTGATTCCCAGGGACAAAATGCCGACCGATGACTGGAACAAGGTGGAAGATCCCTTGGGGATATGTCTCGATGCAACCCGAGACTGGGCACCCGAATAGTGAGCCAACAGCATGTTCCTCAGCCGGCTATCCCTGACTCATTAGTGTGTAGTCGAACGATGTTGACGACAGGTTTCGACGGCAAGAGCAGAGACCTCGTTACTGTAGCACGCATGCGAGCAAGCAACAGACTTGCCAAAACGTGGCGGAACAACGTCAAACGAGCAACTGGCGACGAAGGACACCCTCGAATCTGGCTGATTGGGGACGCGATGCATGCAATGCAGCCTAATAGGTTCGTTGGACTCTGTTACAGACAAGCCATCCCGTTGTACTGACACGACGTGCCATGCTAGGGGGATGGGAGGCAATCAAGCTCTCCATGATTGCGCCGACGCACTATCTCACATACTCGCCCTCAAAGAAAAGGCTGATTCTGGTGTCCAACCATCGACACAAGACATCAGTGTGGCATGCAGTAAGTATGAGCGTAGAGTCATCGACCGAGCGTTTCCATGGGTCCGCAAGAGCGGAGGAACCAGTGTGCCTGTGAGTCTACTAATTTTGAGCCAAGCGTTTTGTCTGAGAGATTTGACTAACGATTGGTCAAGATGATGAACTTGGATGGATGGCTTGGGTCTCTGGTCTGGATGCTTGGCTCGTTTTTGGTGTCGGGATACATCTTTATGGCTCGAGTCTTGAAGTCTGGGGTGAGACAATGAGGAGGTCGTGAAATTGAGCTCGCAGCTACATGTGTAATTACTATAACATTGAGACACCGATCGAAGGTACTGTCTTGAAGCGATGAATCAAACGGTCTTGTTCGGGTCCCTATCAACTGCCAATGATCTCTCCTTTCATGCAGACAACATTGCCCTTTTCGATGAACAACTCGCTCCTCTTCTCATTCTCCGCAACAGCTGTTCGAAGCGTGTACTTGTCGCCGGCGTAGAGAGGAGACATAGCTCGATAGGTAACCTGCCGTGCTTCCCTGCCGTCCTTGCCGTACACGTCTCTCCAATAATCCAGCATGTTAATCAGATTCAAAGGCCCATGAACCACAACCTCGGGATGGCGCTCGATGTCCTTCGTCCAGGGCTCGTTGTAGTGGATCATATGACCATTGAAAGTCAGGGCAGAAAACCTGAAGAGGCCAACAGGTGACCATCGGAAGTGACGAATTATGCTTCCTTCTGCACTCGATTGGTCGGTGATGGTAGAAGGTCCGAAAGCAGGTGGTCTTTCACTACGCGGTGGTGCTGTTTTCGCGGCCAGCGACAAGTCGACTTCTGGCCGAAATATCCACGATCTGAGCATACATTAGTCTCGCAACCTGTGCATGGGAATGCAATGTCCAGGACTTACCTCTGGTCTTTGACAACTAGTCCATCGCGCCCATGAAATTCCTTCTCGACATCTACCAAAACCATCTCATCTCCGCTTTTGCTTTTCTTCGGCGTCGCTCCGACTAGTCTCGTCCGCTCTTCAACTACCTCTCCAACCTTGAGAGAGGTTCCCTCAACAAATTGCATCTTCCCCCCAGCCCACATCCGCCGCGTAAACGGTGCCGGCGCGTTGAAAGTCTTATCCGTGCCGTCCATTCCGAGTTCGCTCTCGACGCCAGTGGGGGTGAAGTAAACAAGGTGGTAGCCCGGGGGCAGGGGCGTGCCTTGAGCGGGTGCTTCTGAAGAAACATCAACGCCAGGGTGCAGCTCTTTCCGGTTGAGGGTCAAGCTAAGACGTTGAAGTTGATTTGAGTCGAATAATTGCTTGCGGACGACATCCTTACCAGCAAATGTGTCGAGAAGCTGAGAGGCTGCATCTGTTGCATTGCTTGCGATGGATCGCTGTGAACGAGCGGTGCATTGACGTAGGGCCGGTCGTACTTGATGAACCAGGGACACCATTGTGAATGCAGTGAGTTGAGACTTGGAGGATCTTTAGTGTGTACAAATGATGACTCAGGACTCGCGGACAGCTGGAGCTTCTGTCTGTTAAATGTTTCCAGCACGTGCCTTTTGTCGAAGACTCTGAGAGCAAAGTATTGCATCGAGCTGGCAATTAAAGAGCTCCAGAATGTTAAAGCCGATGCAGTTGCTGGCCAGAAGATCCCCAAGCCCTCTACTTCGCCGCATGAGGAATGGTCCGAGCAGGCGTCCGTCAGTGGGGTTGCCGCGCCGCCCGGCTATATGCTGTCGGCTTCTTAGAGTTCGATTGCAACAAGCCGGACAGTGAATGTGCTCGGCAGAAGAAGCCGAAATGATGCTGAGTGAGAATTTAGCCTGTCCTTTCCACGGCGACTTATGCCGGGCTTCGAGGGATCTATTTCCCTGGCGAATTCACCTCCCGTTACAGGCCTTAGACTTCATAGAGAGACTGCTGCTTTCTCTGTCGTCTTTACAAGCAACGCTGCAGGAAGTTCAGCCCCTCTACCTGCATTGGCCCATTGGCGTAAAGTTGAGGATCCAGGAATAGCCCGAGATCTTCTAGGGCATCTTCGCCTTCCCAATTTGTGCGCATGAGGCTGAAGTATTGATCTTCCATTGCGTCGGGTCTGGCTTGCTGAAGAGCATCTTGTAGTAGAGTTACCGGGGGGCTCGTGCCTGCGTCGTTGAACGGCTCAAGACCCGTGACAGAGTTGGGTAGTGCGCTGGACGGCGCAGATTCAGTGCTGTCGCCGTTAAGTCTCTTCGCTATTGATTCGTCGAGGTATTGCAGGAAGAGGTCAAGCACATTGTTGTTGATACGCCAGTACTTTTGAATTTCTTTGAGGCCAAGAAGACACATCTGGGCTCTATGCTCGGCTAATCGGCGACTGATGCCATCCGCAGACTTGATATCAATTGCATGTATGCAAAAAGCGGCAAAGAGGCTAGTAAGTCTAGAAGAGTTAGTCGAGGCATCAAATTGTCCGTAGCGTTGGGGTTCTCACAGGTGCATTTGGCCGTATTGCAAGGTCTTTTGTGCGAGCATGTCTTCGGCGATGCGACTGATGCGACAGGCGGCAGCGAGAGCTGCGCTCTTATCCTCCTGGTCTCTATTCCGCAGCCATCCGTTTCGGTGCACAAGGATACGGAGATGGCTTAGTTAGACACATGTTAGCCTTTGTCATGGAACAATACTTGCTTATTCAGTACAGCACTGAAAAGACTGGGTTCAACTTACTTGTAGGCAAGGTGGATTAGGCAGGTCAAGACTGAAGACTGCCCATCATCAGGGCCTCTACGCATCTCATCTGGTAGACTTTGCTTCCAATCCTCGAGCTGTTGCTTCAATTCACGAACTTCCGTCGGGGCTGGTGGTCCCCGACCAGGCGCAAAGTGGGTGTCCATGATTCTCCCGACTATAGATGGGTCAGTCAAGCTGGTACCCAGAGTTGGTTTCAGCATGAAGAATTCAGACTCACGAAGACGAGCGATGTCAATCATCTTGATAGCATAATGAATGTGCTCTGATTTTGGTGCACCAAACCCAGTTGCTCGCTGTTCGTCAGCATCATC